TCGTGCTCCTTGTAGGGAGCTTGGGTTCTCAGTAGGGAGCTCGCTCTTAATAGGGAGCTCGAACTCCCAGTAGGGAGCTTGTTCTTAATAGGGAGCTCGGATTCTTAGGGAGCTCGGACCCTTAACAGGGAGCTCACTCTTAACAGGGAGCTCGGGTTCTTTCTTGGGGAGCTCGGATCTTAACAGGGAGCTCGCTCTTAACAGGGAGCTCGTGTTCCTAGTAGGGAGCTCAGATTTTAGGGAGCTCGGGTTCTTACTTAGGGAGCTTGGACCCTTAACAGGGAGCTCGCTCTTAACAGGGAGCTCGGGTTCCTAATAGGGAGCTCGGGTTCTTAGGGAGTTCGAGCTCCTAGTACCGAGCTCGGACTTAGGGAGCTCGGGTTTTAGGGAGCTCGGACCTTTGACAGGGAGCTCGCTCTTAACAAGGAGCTCGGGCTCCTAGTACCGAGCTCGGACTTAGGGAGCTCGGGTTTTAGGGAGCTCGGACCTTTGACAGGGAGCTCGCTCTTAACAAGGAGCTCGGACTAAGTACAGCGGTCTGGAGTTCGGGCTCGGTAGTGAGTTTGGACTTGCTTCCGATGTTCGCTTTGGGTGCTCTACTGTCCCAAGCTGCTTGCCTTTGCCACGTGTCGGGCGATCGCGAGGTCGGGCCAAATTTCCCTTCATCAGGTTGAGACTTGAGAATGAAGATTTGAAGCTTACCACGATTGTAGAGACCATGAGGTTTTAGAATGAAGCTTACCAAGATTTGAAGCTTGCCAAATTTCCCTTCATCAGTTGTCGTCCATCTCCTAGCAAGATTAAAACAAACCTTATTTTATTTTATTTTTATTTTTTTGTGAAGATCTGCTTGGAACTGAAAAACCCAAGCTTCCAATAAGGTGAATCGGTAGTTCCGATCTTCACCTGAGAACATCCAATTACTGAAACCTCCATTTCAATTCACAAAGTAAGGAAAAGAAAGGAAAAAATGAAAACAGTATGATAGATAAGAGACTGAAAGGAAATAAATCCTACAAAATTTATAGAACCCTAGAAAATTGGCAGAGAAACAATATAGAAGAAATCAGAGTCTTCATTCGTTTCAGGAATCAGGTCAGCTGCTCTGCTCATGGTCATCAGAGTGAAGCGAACCATTGGTTATATAGGAGGAGCAAGGAAGAACAGATGCATTTTCTTAGGTGATGTTAGGATTTAGGAATCTTCCAATCAGAAATGCCACGTGAGGGAAAGCAGGCGGAGGTGGAGGCGTTGTTGGGCAGAGGTGGTGGTGTTGGGTGGAGGCATTGTCGGAGGTTGCCGGAGGCAGCAACGAGTGGCGGCGCTGATAAATGATTTGCAAGAAGAAGAAGATGAACAGTATTGTTGCCCTTATTTGATACTATTTTTTAAAAAATTATCATATTTTTGAAATTTTATTAAAATTATTGATATTAGGGCCCAAAAGTTGCTCTTATCAGCTATAATACCAAAAAGAATATAAAAACATTGATTTGGTCAGTGACCTGCTGACTCCGACAGTAGAACCATCAATTTGTCGATTCAGACAATGATTTTTGGCCTTCTTTTTAATTTTTATTTTCCTAAATCAGAACAGACCATTCATTTAAACCATACAGTCAGACCATTTGACCCCGAAATCAGTCCCTAAAGCAGTTCTGTATCCGATCCAGTTTTTAAAACCTTGGTTTAGATTGCTATTCTTTCTATACAAAGTTTTTGTTTGTAAGAAATCCCTGTCGGAATGGGAACTGGGAAGTGCCAAATCTGTTTCCATCCTTTTTTTTTCCTCGCACAATGAGAAGATACAAGAATTTACTTGGATTATAGAGTTGAAGCCCAATGCATCCAAATTACTGTATGCAAGGATAAAAATATAAGTTGATATTATATAGTCACATTTATTTTTTTTATTTCCACGAAAATGAAGATAAGTTTAATTTCAGTTATCAACTTGATATTATATAATCATATTCATATTCTTCTCTTTTTTTTAATGCAATATTCTTCTCCTTTTATCAATATATAAACAGTTTAATTTCAGTTATGAAAATGAATTTCTAAATTATTATTATCATTGGTAATTATAGGTGTCAAGTATGACCGTATAATTACAACAGAAGCAATTGTCCCGATTAATAATTGGTTCAGTTCTAGGTCCATCACACTATCTGTCCCAATTAATAATCAGAACAACCCATTGACAGCTCTACGCATTGTAGGACATCCAGTATTCTAGCTTTGGATGTTCCAATTGGCCCAACAAATAATATAGCTGGTTGTAGCGGAGACTTGTGATCTAATCCCTCCTTTATCCAAGGTTGAGAAGTTATGTAATTGAGAGATGGCATGGATGTATTGTGCATAAATGCTATGTACATGCTATAAACAGGACACTGCAACCATATTATGCAGGAGAAATAAAAAAAAAAAAGGATTACAATGTTTTTAAACCATCTTTTTGGACAGTTTTTTTTAATAAAGGCTCAATTTGGAAAGATTATAAATACAAATATGTACAATGAGAAATAATACAAAGGGTAAATTATAAAAACCCCCCAAAGTCTCTCCTATATTCTTTTTATCGACAAAGAACCCTCTGAACTTTAGCCGTTACACAAAGACCCCCTTCCGTTAATGTTCTATTAGTTAACTTGAAAAAATTTTCATCCAAGTGTTTAAAAATTTTTAAATGTCTAAACTACCCTTTTTATAATACTGTTCACGCGACAAGTTTCTTGAGTTCGAACAAGGACGACGGAATCTTGCCAGAAAATTTGTGGAGATCCGTACATGCGGCTAGATCGGACGACAATGGACCGGTGAGAGCATTAAGCCGGAGGATAAGCGTGTGGAGTTGCATCAGATTTCCGAAGACTCCTACAGGGATTTGGGCGATGAGTCCGTTGCCAGGAAGACGCAAGACGGTGACTCGGTTTCTCGCAAGTAATGCCTTGCCACCGACAAGGACTTTGCTCGGTCATGTTCCACAAGAGCGACCTTCCACCGACAGCCAACAGGAGGGCGACGAGCGCCGTCTGTTCCGCTGCTCCGCTGCAAGATACTTCATGTTCGTCTCATCTCTACTACAACCACAATCAGACGCTTTCTGCATCCATCAATATCCCGCCGTAGAGATAGGCAAAGCACGCCAGGCCATTAGAGCATTTTCCTCTCAGAGACCGGAACACGAGTCAGAACTCACAATGTTGAGCGAGTGATGGGAACACCATAAAGATTAAAGCTTAAAAGGGCAATGGTGAACGGAAAATACCTTCTGCTTCGCTCGAGCCGTGCCCGTCTGAGAGAGCCCAACAAGCGGGGGGATCCCACCTCTCACCAACAATCCTCTGTTCCGTACACTGTCCGCGCATAGTTGCAGAAGCGTCAGTACCGCGAACTCTTCCCCTTTCACTGACCGTCTTCGATCGCTTCAACCAAAGCTGCAATCCCTCCTTCTTCGACTATGTCAGTTCTGTCCTCTGGAATTGCAGCTAAGCTGCTCAGAACCACCATCGCCTTCTCCGTCAAACCGCTCCCCTGCTCTGGAATCAAGTCCACCAGCGGTTTCACGGCTCCTGCATTAACAGCCCTCTCTTAGTTCTGTTTCGTAGAACAGAGCTCGTAGAGCGTCGTAAACGCGTCTTTCTTCCCTCGAATTCACTCGCCCAAACCC